CCTTCACCCCCAGATTTAGCCGGGGCCCCCACAAGTTCGTCCTGTTGGCTGCCAGAACGTAACGCGCACGGCAGCTGGGGCACGAGCCTTGCCTAGAGCTCCGCAGGTAACTGCGGGCGGAGGCGGGTTCGCATTAGGCGAGGCAGAGAGGGACAAGGCCCGTTATCGGGGGACACGGCTTCTCAAAACCGACCCCGCGGCCTGGCAGCGCGGGCAGAGCAACCGTCTGTGCAGAGGTTCGCCTGAAATCTCACCGTCTCGCTCCCCTTCCCTCTGCTCGGCCGACTTAGCAGCCTGACTGTTCAGTGCAGCTCTGTGCCTAGCAGCGCAGTCAAAAAAGGAGATTCTTGCAGTATGAAAAGGGCAATTTTGAGCTGTGACTTTAGTACGTGGCCTGCAATAGGTGTTACAGGTGTTACAATGGCAGGATGAATGGGGGTGGGTGTTACGATGGGTAGATGGGTGACACTGGAAGGAAAGATAACTGGCTTTCATTTCCGTGCTGCTGTGGTTTTGATCTGCTGTGTTGTTATGTATATGACAACCAGTCAGACTTTCACAGCACTGTTGTTGCTATTCGTTGTTACTATTATTTGTTTGAACTATGTAACCCGGAATGAACCTGTGGCTTTCAGAATCAGTAGCTGGATAAAAGCTACTGATCGAACGTGCCATCCAGCAGGAAAAATCCTTTCCAGCTGAGATGCACATATTTGCGTCTCTTTAGTCTAATTAACATAGAAAACTGTATTAAAGTTAAAAAAAAATCTATGCACTGAATATTAAGCTTTTTCAAATTATTCATGTTTTTATATTAGTCAAAACAGTCATACACAAACTTCAGCTAAAACCTTATTTCAAAGTTTTCCCCTTTAAAATGTTTGGAGGAACACACTAAGTGGACAATTTAAATCTTATTTACAAATGCATGCACAAAATTAAGCTGTAATAAGTAGTCTGTTTTTTTGCAGGGAAAGCAAGAATTTTAAGCTCATTTTAAAACGCAGCTCTAAGAGTGCACTCACTGCCTGATATTCTAATGATCTTGTGGCATTTCCATGTGTTTGGGGTTTCTAGGAAGTCCTATGAGAAAACCTGTAACGTTCAGTTTGGCACTTGTGTGTTTTCACTCGATCCCTTGGTGTTTGTCTTTCATCTTTCAGCACTTTCAATGTCTATTGAGCGTAAGATACAGGGAGCGATCAAGCCGTGTTTCTTTTCTTCTCAAGCTTTTTTATCCTCTTTTTTTCTTTCTGTTCCTTTTCAGAATTGTTAGCATCGGAAGCATTGTGTGTTAAACTGAAGCATGAAAACACATAGCAAAAATTCATATGAGAAGCACTTTTTGGGCTTAAGCGTTATGTTACTCTGAATATACTCCTGCTGATACTGGTTCTACACATCCTGAACGCTATTCAGGATGCAGTGAGTGAACTAGTAATCGAAAGGTATTGTGAAGGTACTTACTAATGAGAGAAAAGCAGGAATCTGTGGCAGAACTGCCTTTTAGTGAAAATTCTGGAAAATCCCCTAGGTAAGTAATGGTGTCAAACTAATGATGATTTTAGCCGTTCTTGAACTTTACTTTAATTTTAGCATGCATGTTTAGTTTTAAGTGGTATTTACCAGCCTTACAACTCTTCTTTCTTCCTTCATCCTTGTAGCACTTTAATTACTAAATTCAAGACATGAGGCCAATGAAATATAAATCAAGTGTGTCCTCAGTGTCCAGTGGTCTGCAATATCACCGTTCTTTGATAAAGCGGAGCCAAAGAATGAATTTGCGCAAAGTACGGACTTACTCTTCATCAGCACCTAAGAGGCCCGAAGCCAAGTCTGTAACAGAAATGGCTATGGGTCTTCTTAATCGTCTGACAGAAGCTGGGACCATTATGGGAAAAAAATCACTTCAAAAAATATCCACAACATGCAAGAGTTGGTGGGACAGATATGAAGAGTTTGTTGGTCTTAATGAAGTTCGAGAAGCTCAGGGGAAAGTGACGCAGGTAAATACAGAGAAAATCTGGAAATTTAAAATGATGACTTCAACTGTGTGAAATATAAATGCTGTCTGTGAGGCAAAAGTGCTTCCAAAGAGGGTCATGTTATCTTTTCCGCTGTAACTGGGGGTACAGACACTATCAACGTGTTCCACTCTGTGCACATTAGTAAATGTATTTTATCCCTTAGCTTTTAGTGCACTATTTTTTTTTCTCCAAATTCACGCAATCGGTGTTTTAGATCCATATGGTAATAAGACTCTAAAATATATGATCTCTCTTCTCAGGCTGAAAATGTCTTTATGATAGCTCGAGGGATAGTACGAGAAACTCGTGAAAATGTAGAAGCCCAACAAATTAAACTGAAGGAAATTCGGGACCGCTTAGACAGGGTCTCTCGGGATGACACCCAGTACTTAGAACTGGCTACTCTGGAACACAGGTTGCTGCAGGTAATCTGTTGGTACTTGAGCACTGGCAAATATGATGAAAGTTCATGTGTTATGCTTCCTCACTAGTGACTGTTTTTGCAGGTGGAATTCAATTTTGAAATGCAGTGGTCTGAGTTAATTTCTAATGATCTTGTTTTGATTGAACTAGTTATTATAGATGATTGAGTCTAGTATGCAAATCATATATTAATGCTAAAATAAATTTGGAGTAAATTTGGCAGTAAATTTGGAGAAGAAAGCTGAAGATAGTAAGCCTAGAAAATTAATTGTTTGAGTGGAGACAGGTACAGGAATAGTCGATTAAAAAGCTGGGATTCAATGCGTTATCCCTCCAGATGATGAGAGAAGTTCATTCCTGGTTGTTAATCCATGGAAGAACTCTCAGCTGCCTTCTATCTGGCTGCTACAACTCAGGCAATTTACTGAAGCCCTTGTCAGGGAGCAGTAGGAGTGAGGCTGCTCCATAAGAGAGGGCAAGCAGGGAGCTGAGGTTGACTGCAGCAGAGGCCGGGGCAGTGCCCTCACTAACAGGGCTGCATGAGCAGAGCAGAGTTGGCAACAGGAGCAGGCTCCAGTGCCAGTCCAGCAATCGCCAGACGAAAGCGCAAGCAAGTCAAGGCCGAGCTCAGTCCAGGAAATACAAATGATGCCTCAGGAGCAGCAGGGAACAGGCCTGGAAACAGGTGCACCTTTGACAAAGCTCAGGCGGGGAGTGGGTGCCCAGGCCTGAGCTAAACGGAGCTCCTGCATCAATATGCAGAGCATCAGAAAAGAACTAACGGTAGCTGTCTAGGTAATGGATCAGGGGGATGAGACTTCAAGAAGAATAGAGCTCTGCATGATTATGAACAAAGGGTAAAACTGAACTGAACTGAAAGGGGGAAGCGTGATAAAGGCAGTATTTGCAGAAGTAAGCCGGGCCGGAAAAGTGTACCTTACCAGGAGAGAAAGCATCATGACAGGGAGAAAGACCTTGTCCACTCAGTCCACTTTTCTGTCATCAGCATGTGACAGGTTTCTGTGTAGAGAATTTTCAGTTGTAATTCTTGACGACCTTCTCTGTTTCTCAGTTTTGACTGCAAATAATGTCTCATTGACTTAAGTAGTGTAGTAAAGAGAATCCCAAAACAAAAGGGAATTTTCTGAAACGGAACTAGTGAATGTGTGTCACTTCCACTCTTTCATCTGCACTGTTTCTTTTTTAAATACAGACTTCATAGCTTCACATTACACCTTCTCCTTCAACTCGCTGTGTCTCTTGCAGGAAGAGAAGAGGTACCGAGCTGCCTATTTAAATGCAGAAGAATCGGAGCGAGAAAAATTCTCTCTCTTCTCTGCAGCTGTAAGGGAAAGCCATGAGAAAGAGCGAACAAGAGCTGAAAAAACAAAGAACTGGTCCATTATTGGCTCTGTACTGGGAGCCATTATAGGTGTTCTTGGTTCTACCTACGTTAATCGAGTAAGGCTACAAGAATTAAAAGCCTTGCTGCTTGAAGCACAGAAGGGCCCAATAAGTCTGCAAGAAGCCATCAAAGAACAGGCCTCCAGCCATTACGTACAGCAGAAGGATCTCAGCGACATCATAGCAGACCTGAAAAACGTGCTGCAAACAAGGACCTCCCAGGAAATAAAAGAAGGTGTTTTGTTAGCTAGAGAAGACAGGAATGACTCCTTTAAAATAGATTCTCTTTTAATTCCTTTGAAAGAACAGCTAAGCTACACTAAACAAGTCAGTTCATGTCTGGGGAATTTACAGCAGCAGTTTAGCAGTCTGCAAGAAAGTATAGCGCATATGATTTCTGAGATGCAAAGTGTTAAGCAGGCTTCTGAAGTGAAAGATGTAATTTCAGAATTGTATGATACAGAACAGAGACTGGAAACACAAATCAAGAGAAATGCTATTTACAGCACTGCACTGACATGCGCAGTGTTTGCTTTTACTCTGCCAGTACTCTATATTATATTTAAAGGAAACTGATCTCTAATTACCATAGTTTACTAGATTAATAAAAGTAAACTTGTGCTCTAAGTAGTTAGAGTACAAGTCCAAATACATGTGCATTAGCATTTTCTCATTATGTTTTTCTTCTGTATAATTGGAAAACTTGTGAAGACTTAGTCTGTCTACTGGTGCAGGCAGTGTGTTAATAATGATTGTTGTGTAGTGCAGTTTTTTAGCTCCTCAGGAGCTAAAGGAGATTCCACTGTTTCAGCTGTTGTACTCTTTTACTATCTAGTCTTGTGCATCTTGCGAACGTGCAACTTTCACACTGGAGCTATATTCATGATTTTCTGTTTAAATGATTCTTTTAATCTATCATTAAGCTAAGTGCTTTATGTATAATCCTTTATAATTTTGTTCCATATTTCTTCCTAATTGTTCGTTTGTCCATACACAGTGTTAGGAGTTGCTTTACCAAACAGATTGAAATATTTGCCCTGAAGATATTTTTTCTTTTCGTATATATATATATATATATATGGCAATGATAGGATATGACAAACATCAGGGTTCGTACGGACAAGGAAGGATTGAAGTTACAATGAGACCTGTGTCTGTACAGCCAGATGATGCGTTTCAAGTATATGTAGTAACTTTCTCCTAAGACTGTTTATTATAACGTGTCTGGAAGCATTTCTGGAGCTTTAGCTATTCATTACTGATAGCTCTGTGTCCTTAAGGCTTATGGGCATGGAAAGAGAGGGAAGAGATGTGAAAGATTGTTTCTTCTGCAGATGCAGGCTCATTCCTACAGCCTCATTGACCCGTCACTCACTCTAGCTAGTTTGTGCTTTCAGGAATACTCTGTGGAGCAGTCACTTTCTGATCCCTTACAGTATTTTGTCTGGGAACGTTCTCCAGTTCTTACTCATTTTTCAGTTACTGTCCTGTCTGGAAATCAAAAAGCTTCTTTACAGCAGGTGCTCTTAAGCTGGTACATTAGTGACAAGAGCGTTATGCACACTACTGGAAAATAATATTTGGAGAAAAAAAAATGAAGGCCCAGCTGCCTGCTTTTTCTGACGGGGATGAAGAATGGCTGATTGAAGAAAAATGCTGTCTAATCAGCTAAGCATCAGTATCTGCGCATAGCCCAAAACAAAGTTGTTTGTATCGCAAAGATAAGATACAGTTTCTTCTTAAGATGGCAGCAGACAAGCAATCCAAATTTGGAACCCCTGCTCTATTGAGTACTTGTGTGAAACCGTTGAAAGGAAGGACAGAAAACCTCACTTCATGCTGTAATGCCTTTGTGTAAGCATTTCAGAGTGACTAAGCTGTACAGTCTGCTATGTTTTTTTTTCCTGTTAGCCTTTTCTACTTTCTTCTGCTTTCTTCTGCCCAGTAAACAGATTAAGAGATTGAGGTTTTGATTGTAAGCTCTTAACGTTGTAAGATCTTTGGAACAGGGACATTTGCTCTGTGAGGCATCAACCTTATTTGGAATCATTAGGTACTATTATAACATCACTGAATAAACAACATTAGGAAGGATCTGTACTGATTCACTACTTACTTAAGTAAGAGATAGATGAAGAGATAAGAGGGATGAAGCTTGGTAGGTGCTGGTGTTTTGAGGGAGGACAGCTGCTGATTTATATATTGATTAGTTGGAGTTTAAAGCAAATAAGCATTTGGCAGGGAAGCTATTTGAACTGATGGCAGACATTGAGATGAGGGATAAAAATATTTAACTTCATCAAGAAGTACATGCACAGATTATAGTTTTTCAAATCTATATTTCATTTTCTCACTGCACAAATGTTTCTTCAGGTTCTCCTCCTAGTAGGAGCTTGGTGAAAGTCAGAGACAAAGTACATAATGAAAGGGGAAGGGATAGTACAAAGGATCCTGTTTATAATTTACCAACAGTAGTCACTGAAGCTTCTGACAATTTTTTTCCGGTTTAACTATGTGAAGTTAGGCCCCCTTATTATGTAAGTGACTGAATTTTGGATATTCAGCATGACTGAAAACCGTGTATTATATACCTGAATATGATTTTAAAATGCTAAATGTTAGGCAGCTAAACTTGAAAGTCTAGTGCTGTGCTCAGTACATATGTCCTGATGATTCAGCCATAGCCAAATTAGTATTTTGTTGCTCGAGTTCTTTTGGACTCTTTAAGTAAAAGAACAGTGCTCTACTGCACACCTATGGGTTTAGGCTATTTTAGTAAAAGAACGGGGCTTTAGTGCATACCTATGGGTTATTAACAAAATTTACAATGAATAGTTGACTTGGTTCTGGAATGAGGTCTTTCAGCTCTCTGGGTGAGCAAAGTCCTCTCTGGGTAGGAAGGCTCAGCCAGCCTTGCTTCCCAGTTGCTCATGAGCTAGGAGGGATGGTGATTGCAATAGTTTGCAGAGATGCTAGTGAGGCCAGGGACTGACCTATGCATTGTGCTAATGTACAGGGAAAGCCAGTGCTATTTCAAATTATGTCCACTGTTAACCAAGAACAAGAAACAGAAGATAAGTAAAGAGGGTACTCAGTAACAGCAGTAGGAAATTCTTTGATAGACTGTAACTATATAAAAAAAAAAAAAAAAAAGGCTTCGCCCCCGTTAAACTTTTTTGAGTTCTTAATGTTCTGTAAGAAACCACTGTTAAGTCAAAAGCAAACAGCCTAGCGGCTATGGAAAAAACTTTTAGTAAGGTCAGTACAGACTTCTAACAATAGATGCATTTTGAGGAGAAAACTTACCATTCCTTCCACTTATGAAGGCAGTATCAAATACTGTTTATGAATACGAATTGAAAGCAGTTATATTTGGTGTCACAGTCAGTATATATATTTTTCTTAACGCTTGAGTTTTGAACGTTCCAACATTTTGAGATTCTGGTGGCAAACTGCAGGTGCTCCCGTTGACGTAATTGTAACCATCTGTTTGGCAAAGGAGAACTTTTAGAGAATACCTTCTAAAAACAAATATACTTCCCCTCATGATGGATCTAAGGAGTAATAGAAGTATCCTGTTTAGGAACAGCACTGAGATCAGCAGTCAGAATAAGATTAGTGAGCTAGCAAAAGAGAGACAATGCTGGTTTGTCCGCAACAAGTTATATTTGTGCCCTGCCTCACAAAAAGAAAGAGAAGTGCAATTTCTGGTGTTTGGCAATTGCTAATTAGTATAAGAAGGTGTGGGCTTAAACTACAGCAAAAAATATAAGGGCTAAGCATTAGATAGGGCACAATTTTTATTTTGAATGAGAATTAAGCATTTAGGTAATTAATGTTGTGGCAAGGCTTTGAAGTTTCCGTCATGGGAAGTCTTTAAGAATAGTTTAGATAAATCTAAACATCACTAGGACTGATACGGGTATAAAGAGCTTCTGCCCTGAAGCAAGATGGATTCACTCAAGCTTTCAACCTTTTTTGTTCTAAGGACCACCACCTGTTTTTATAGAGGAGAGGGAGTGAGAGGGAAAGTCTGTGAACTGTTTGATATCCACAAGGTCATCCTAGTGCCAGTTATCCTGTAGTGTAGGCTATAACAGAATGTGAAAGCATTCTGTTAAGAAGGCATCCGTTTGCTATGGGTGGTATGGTATTGGCACCAGGAGAGAGGTAGAGTTGTATGCATGTATGTGCTGCTGCAATAAAATAGGACCCTAAAGGTATCACCTTGTAATTATTTTTCAGAATTGAATATGTAAAGTGGTTTCTCAAATCAATTTTGAAATACTATACAAGGAGCCTTTTAAAGCTGTTTTTTTCATAAAGCCATGCTGATTTGCGCACTCGTGCTGCAAGCCTTTGATTTTATATGGCTGTGGCCTACACTGACCTTTCTCTGAGTTTGCCAGAAGCTAACTGGCCTAACAAAGATCATCCTATTTAAATACTGGCACATCATGAGCTCTCAGGGATTTCCCTGTGCTTCAAGACATTTCAAAAAAAAAAAAAAACTATGCTGATTCAGGGTGCCCATCTCACAACCCTCCCCAGGAGTTTGGTGCATGTAATCTGCTTCAGCAAATACGTTTTAATTCTTGGTTTTCATGGAGGTGATTGTGAGAACCTGTGTGGCTGGAGCCCTCATCTGTGATGTTGGAAAACTTGTTCACGGTGACACTGGACATGTCATGCGTAAATGCTGTAGTCATGCAGCTCCTGGATAAAGGGATTGCCACAAGCATCCCAATCTTGTGCTGTCTTGCAGGGAAAGACCTAAACAAACAGGCGTGGGGTAAGAGAGTCTCTTACTCTGCTCCTGAAGAGTAAAGCCGTGTGTTTGCGTTCAGGTAAGCTCAGCTGTGAGCAGGCTCTTGGCTGCTGGGCACTGCGCAGGCTGCACAGCATGTGAGGCGTGTTCAGAGGCAGACCTTTAAACATCAACAGGATGTTACTAGCAAAACCTTTGGAGCCCAAATGAGGGTAATTGTGGTCTTAATGCTATTTCTAAATGTCATGATGAATTGAAAACTAGAAAGGAGCAGAGTCAAATTTAAAGTAGGGCAGATGTAGTCAACCTTTTGATGGTCCCTGCTCTAAATGCAGTTTATTCCCAGAAGCTATAGACAGTATTCAGATATCCCTTGTGACTTTCTTAACTGTCTCATCCCCTGCTTGGAGGGGAGGAAGAGTAAGAAGGAAATCAAAAGGAGGAGTGTAAGCAGCTGCTAGCCTTGTGATTATCACAATAGTTACATAAGAAACTTAGCTAGCCTGCTTAGAAGCAGACGTGAAGAAGGGCTTTTACAGAGGAGGATCCTTTCTGGATTTAAATAAATAAAAAAGCTTCTGAGCAAATGGAAACCAAAACCTGTTTGAGTTAAATTTGCCCCTCATATAATGTTTGTTCTTTGTGCCATGCTGTTTTCAGTTGTGTAATATTTGAGAACTAGCTTTTTTGCTAGTTTATTTTTAAGAACTGGAAAAGAGTTTCATGGAGAGCAATCAAAACTCCTCCCTGAAGAAGGAATGTGCAAGTCTACCGTGGTTTTACAATGTGCTTGTCGCTATGGAGTGCTTTAAGTATGTAAAGGGGGCTTAAGGCACTGTAACGTGCACAGAGGCTCTGTCCTTGCCCTGCTCCTGAGGCAGACCCTGCAGTCAGCTCTCTGCACCAGCCCCACCATGGCACAGGAGGGAAGGTGGCTCTTTTCCAATGTACTCTCCTATTTTCTGCTTTTTAAATGAAGCTTGGAGGAGTTTTTTTAACAGAGTGAAGGGGCTGCAGGTTGGGACTGGCTCTGGAGGAGAGGTACAAAGGGGATTAGTGTTCTGAGTCAGGAATGGGTGAGAGCAAAGGAAAACGTTTCTTGCACGTAGTTACCAAATTGGAATTTTGGTGGAAGCCAGTGGGGTGCAGTTAAAAGGTGTCTGATTAGAGAGAAGATGATAATGTTCTCCGTAGTGAGCTCTAACCCGAGCAGTAGTTCATTGGGAGGGTGCGGTAAGAGGATGTTTTTGTCTATGTGGGGAGGGAAGGAGAGGAGCAAACAAGGCATCATCTCCTCAGGGGAGCGCTGATGGGCTCTGCACACAGACTCCTCAGCATAACAAAGCTCCAGGGAGCACAGGCCCAGAGAAGCAGCTGGTGTTTCCCTCCCAAACAGTCCTTTGGGGATGACGATCACGCTACGGGATGCTTAGGCCTGTTCACCATTCCTAAACTTTCAGACCTACTTTTTCCTTTAAAAAATGGTGGCTGTTTGGGGTAGGGAGGCGAGAGGCAAATGGAATGTAACAAAGGGAGTATATGTTTAAAAGCACTTCAGGACATGGGACTTGTACCAACCACGTTCCTCTGAAATGTCAGAAATGCATGTGGGAGGGGAGCTTGATTCAGACTTCCAGAGCAGCCTTGTGTCGTGAGCTGAGCCCTGGAGCTTTATCCAAGAAGGAAAAATGATGGGCGTCCTGGTCACATAGCTCCTTCCGTGCTTGGCAGAACCTCGGCCAGTGCCCGTGCCTCCTCCGCGGAGCCTGCTCTGACCTGCAGCTGCTGTTCCGCTTCTGCGCGTCCTCGTCAAACGTCCTCTCCTCCACAGAGGATTTGCGGCTGGGTGGTAAAAGCAGAATTTAGCCGTTTGCCGGGGACTTCCAAACGTCGGGCAGTCGGTAGAGCAGGCGAAGGGGCGTACGCACCGAACTGCCCGGGCGGTCAGCACACGCGGCGCGGACGGGCGAGTCTAACCGCGCGTTTGCTGATCGCGACAGGGCCCGGCGCGCTTGGGGCACGCGGAAGCTGCAGCGTAAGCGAGAAAAACGGGGGCGTTAATTCCGCCCCGCTCTGTGATTCCCGACAGAACTCAGCCCCAATTCAGAGGAAGGTTTTCAGGCGCTCGGTTCTCCGGGGACGCCGCTCGGTATAGAGAGCGCCGACGTCTGTGCTGTGCTCGCGGCTGGGGCTTTCGGCTTCAAAGGAACGAAGGTGACAAAACCATCGGGCGGTTTAGGTTACGCATCTCCGCTTCGGGCGGTTCTGCTCGGTGGTGCCGTTGCCCGCTCCAAGGTTCAGCCGGGACGGCGTGTTCTTCCCCCGTTTGGTAACGAGAGAGGACTGTGCCCTGCTTCCCTCAGCCTCTGCCAAGGGCGGCCGTGCCGCTGGGGCCCGTTCACCGGTTCCTCGCCTCGACACAGCGTCGCCCGCTCTCCTCCTGCTCCGGGAAACCGCCC